AATGCCTATCTTACCCATTTCTTGTTCAATTGAAGCAAAAAAATCCGTATCTAAAGTTTTTCTATTATCTTACTCATTATTTACCCAGACGTCATGGCAATTTTAAAATATCTATTGTAAAGCAAAGATAACAATCACTTAACACTAATGAAAATGAATTCCTGATTTTGATATTATTTATACTTGGCTATTCTATAATCTTTGACTTAAATAGCCATAAACTAGATATGTATTTAATATGCTACGCCTACCAACAATTCTATTATCTTAACTCACCTAATTTAGACATACAAATGTTATTTTAATGGAGATGATGTTTTATGACAGTATTATTAGTAATATGGTTGTGACAAGTTTTTAGTTTTTGGAAATCATTAAAATTAATCACTGATTATAGACCAACCTGATGAATTCTTTGGAACACTTAACATAAAAATCTTAATATCATGTATTGAATTCTGTCAATCGTTGAAGTCTTTTAGGCCCTTCATTTAGCTTCATCTAGCATTTGATTGCATTCTTGAATATAAGTGATTAATAACAAGAAACATAATTTCTCAAACCGATAAATACTTATACAAATTGCTAATCCACATATACATCAGACCCGTGTCGTTCCGAAGGATACTATAAAACATGGACATGGAACTTATAGCAAAAAAAGCGATCACCGTTAATGCTAAAAGTACTATATAAAGAAGAATGAGACAACACTGAATGGATAAGACTTTCAATTCTGATGATGCTAATGCCACAATGGCTTCTCATGTTTTCTGGATTAATAGCATTTAGCCATACTACCTACTATACCTGAGCACCAATATTATTAGTACAATGGTCTACATACATAAATCAATAGTGACATTATTTGTTAAATTGCGATCTGTTTACAGGAACTGTGTAACAAAGTTATTATTGAAGCGCCATTGACATGCCATAATTACGCCAACATAACAGAATTAAGCCAAGCGCACATGACGCCGCGCGATGCAGAATCTAAGGCAGGCTTATTCGTGTATGGCAGGGCCGATCGCGACTATTACTCGAGACGATCGCGGGAAGACAAAAACATTTTTTTATTCAAAAAATTTATGTGAGTCACACCAGCCCTTTTACGTCCCCACTGCAGGGGCTCAGGCCTTCCTTATGGATGGTTAAGGAGGATGGGCCATGACCCTCCACGCTGGCCCAATGCGGATTGGAGGGTATTAACGACTGCAAATGCAGCCGGGACCAACGACTTAACGTGCCTTCCGAAGCACGGAGTAGCTCGAGATAATAATTTTTGGTCACCCATCCCGTGACCGACCCTTGCGAAAGTTGCTTAACGATTACGATCGCGGGCCGCGGCGCTTATCCACTACGCCACCGAGCTACTCGATAAATGTAAACATCGTTCTCGCTTAACGGATGCTTGGACTCTGAGATTAAGTTTTTCAATCTGCAAACCTGAAAGAGTCATAGGCGCGTTATTCACTCCTGGTAATATCAATGTGAGCTAATAGTATAAGTGTAAGCATTACGCCGTTATAAATAGCATTCAGTTGCTAAGAATTAAAGTATATTTAACCTAAAATAAAAATACCACATGAAAATATACAGTTTCATTTAAAATTTTATAAAATAAGTAATCGGTAGATCCACAGGTATTGGTGGTACGGCTGAGAGTATGACCTGATAAGATCAACAAAGAGTCATCGACTCAGCGTGTCTTCGTCTCGTAAATAAATATCGTAAGAGATCCAAATAAAATCTTTAGCCTTTAATAAGTCTACATCATTATTTAGATCGATATCACACACCAATTGTTTTCCCAAAGGTCCGACATAGCCGTAATTAAAATGCCGCTCGTCCATCGATCAAAGCGGCATTGTTTAGTACAATCGCAACAGCATAGTCACGTCTCGTGTACGTGAAGCGTGACATTATAATCGTCACGGGTCGTTTCACTTTTTATACGTGTCGCAACGCAACTTTGACATTAGGTACAGTCACCAACCAAAAGTGTATTCATGTCAAAGAAAGTACTTCCTTATCAGCAGAGTCCGATTTAAGTACTTATAGAGGCTGCGAGCAAAAAATATGTTAGCTGCCTTTCACACTTACAAATATTATATCATCAGTCATCATATAAAATGGTATTTCCTAAAGAAAAACCGCAATAAAATAATTATTTATTATGATTTTTCTATGTAATTTTTCTCGTTCTCATTAGAGAGAAAATTCCGTCTGACTGTCCGGAAAATTAAATTTTGCTCAAAAATCTACATTAATCCATATTAATAAATATATTTTAACTCTCTTTGAATTTCGAACGTCGTTAAATAGCTTTATTGGATACAAAGTTATTATTATTAAATGGATTAATGGAGCTTGTAATTTTATTCACATTTGTAAATTAATATGTAAAGTTGTTTAAACATTAAATTAATGGTTCATAATTTGCTAGCCTGATATAAAATTATAGTGTACATATTTGTTGTTAGTTTTCATTCACCATCGTGAGATGGATTAAATTGTTCAGTTTTTTCAAAGTTATAATATTTAGCTGATTTCGGTTAAACGAGGGGTGGTATAAAATGTATCTGAATTATTGTTTTTTATAAATTCTTTATGATTAGTTTTCTTTATGGCAACTACTTTTTACCTTATAATCGTGTGCTCTCAGAGTTTGAACTATTATTATTAATTAACGTAGTACAGTACGTATATAATAAGACAAATATTAAATACTCTTTGTTCGTGACGTTTGCTATAATCTTCGCAAAGCACTGTGGAGAGGGTAAACGAATACGTTTTCGTTTGGCTCCGAATGGGAGAAGTATCTGCCAGTCCAAACTAAAGTAGGTACCACAGAATCCATTCAGTTGTTAACTTATACAAAAATGGAGTTTCCCGAAGCTACTTATAAGATTTTCCATGGGCACATAACATTAAGATAATGTTAAGTTTGGCAGAGATGAAACCAAATAATCGAATGCTTCTAATGCATCAGCAGTTATGATTAAAGGTTTCGATAATTGTCTGATTACAATATTATTCATTGTCCCGGTCCAATCGAAAAGTGCTGTCGTTAAAACTGAAAAGAATCTAGAACCTTGACTCACATTCTGACAACAAAAGACAGGACATCCTATCATTTGATATGCTTCCATATAATTGACCGAGACTAAACGTTAACTCATTAAAGGAGACGTAATACCTTGCTTTACAATAAACGTTATTTTACGTTGATAATGATGCCTTCAGGTCAAGGTTTGCAGAACTTTGAAGATCTAAATACACATATTTTGATGATATATGGACCTATCTATAGACCGGTAGTACATATAATTCATTAGTAATGACTACAATGATAATAATAACGAATACCATTAGGAGACCAATAATACAAGTCAGAGGACCAATAAATTAATGAAAAATGTATTATTTCTATTTGTGTTCCAGAATAACCTACCTACGTACCGGTCGCTCAAACTAAGCAAATAAAATAATAATTATATGAAAAATGCTTAAAAAATCTACTTTGTCCCTGGCACTGTAAGATGCAAAAAATAGCCCTGTAGTAGCGAAAAAGTAACAAGTGCTTGAAAGATTCGTCAGTCCTATTAGGTCCTGGGTAGCTCAGTGGTAAGAGCAGTCGCCCGGATTGCGAAAGGGTTCGAGTCCCATTTCAAAGTGCTACGAACAAGTGGATTTTTTAAGCATTTTTATTTAAGAAATAAAATAACTTTAGATGTGCTATTTTAAATGGGTAGATATGTGATAAACTTTGGAAATGACCTACACCTGCCACTTACTAATGTAACAATGAATGACCATATTTAAGTCTTAGTAATAGATATAACGGCATTTACTATAAGATATATGTTTAACTAACAAAAATTACTCAAGCCCAGATGATATAATTACAATTTTATGCGTAACTGTACACTGTTACGAGCGCCATATTGTAGATGTGAATGTGGACGCGTGCGCAGGTTCTGCATTCCAAATTGCCGATAAGGTTTCGTTTAAAAAACTAACAGCTGACCGGTGCGGCATATGGTATTCGATAAAAAATCGATAACCGCCACACTGCAAGGTGTATCGTATAAACCAGGAATGTCCAAACTATTTTGGGGAAGGAACCTCTTTAAAAAAATGCACTGACACCTCATACTCCCAAAGCTAAATTAAAATTATTTTTAAGAGTATCCCTTCTCTATCTTTTCCTATCGATACAAAATACCTGCCCATTTAAAAACTATTCCACCATTTTCTATTCAGTAAATATCACATGTAATTGAATAATTACAAAACGTATAAACACACATATGTAGATATCATAGTAGATATACCTACTAATAAAATATGAGTCACTCTTATTTACATTTAATACTCTCGAATATTTCAAATAAAAACTTATGTTAATTATAGGAGTCGAATTTCGTCCATCGAAAATCAGTTTTCGTAACAGAGCACTGAAAAGAGATTTCCGAGAGAGATTGACTGTGGTATGACACTTAAGTGTATAATACAAAAGTATAGTGTAGTGTCAATTTTTAAAAGAAATAGAAAATATGCAGTTCCATAGATCCCATTGTAACTCATTTACTACCTATGAGATAGATAATTGTTAAGTTTATAAAAAATATGGGTAAAAATATGAGGTAAAAATATATATATATCTAGTTTTGATTAAAAAATACTACATCTAGGTAGTATTTTTAATCAATGAGTAACTATCATATTATGTTATACGTAGGTACCTACTGATATTTGTTTCTACTCTGCTGATAACCATAACATTAGACTTTTATTATCAGATAAAAAAACAATATGATTAAATTTTAATCCAGTCCACAAAATTTTTTTAAGCAGTTATTTATTTATTAAATCTCCTATTTAGATTTGCGGCAAGCAAATATCTACAATACAAAATATAGAATAGTTTGCGTTCCAAGTTTACTTTGCTCGCACTTTGTTTCCCCCGCTAGCCGCGCCTGTTGCTGAGCGCTAGTATCAATCGAAACATCGTTGTGGTTGGTCGTGTTGTATTTTGCGGTTATAACCAACACTTATTACGACAAACGATCACATTCCCCGCCTAAATTTACCAAAAACTAACTTGTGTCAGTGAAGTTTACAGTGTTTAGTGCGATAATACAGTGATAAAAGTCGTTCTGTGTGTATTCAATTGGGTTTAAAGAGGTTTTGTTACAAAATCTCTTGTAAAACTCGTATTAACGGAACTTTAGTCGTGTCGGATTTGCCGTCGATTCTATCGGGTTATTCGGTGAGTAGCATTTTGCTATGGTTTTACTAGTTTCATGGTAAACGGAAAGCAATTAGGTTAGAGTGTCATCTTTGGATTTAGAAATAGCGGCGTAAACATTCATAACTGCAAAGTCAATGCATGGCGTTAGTTTTTAAAAACCTATAACGGTCGATACCTCAAGAAAAAACTTAAAAATATTGATACTTACATTAAAAAACAATCTATCAACTGAATGGTACTAAATGTGTATTTAATTATTTATTGAGATCATAAATTACTAATTAAGGCGAATGTTAAAAATAAGATAAAATCTTCACCTACTTAATCAAGTTTACCAAGTATTTTCTTTTAATATCTTACTCAAATAAGACAGTAAAAAAAAACATAAATGTAATGAATCCAGTGCAATTACACTACAATCATTAACTCGGTATGAAAACAAAAAACCTAAACTCTTGTTCCCAGGTTCGGTTCCCGGTTCAATCAAAATAGAAAATGAACTATGCCAATTTGCCTCCGGTAAATTTATTTATTATTTAAGAGGGGGTGTAAATATTTTAAATGCTTTATGACAATTTTAATTTAGGGCGGGCCTGCGGCTCTGCCGTATTTCAATTGAAATAAATATAGCACGGAATTGATTTAGGAACTTTATTCAGGTATACGGTATACTTCTGTTAGAGCTGATTAATTTTTGATCGTTCTTCTCATTAACCAAAAGACGTACTTACTCATTCAGTGATGGTTTATAAAATGTCGAATGATTTAAAAGTCCTTTTAAAGGGTTATTAATAAATATAATTTTAGTGGATAGGCCACCGGTGACAGAAAAGAGCCCCAAAAACACAACCACTGTCCTCACCAGTGGAAAGTGGTTGTTTGCAGCATTTCCCCTACGAATTAAACAAGAAAAGTAAAACACACAACAACGCGTCAGGTTACCACAATATATAAAATTATCGTAACTGATTTTCGAGAATCAAGTGAAAGAATTAGCGGATATGTAGGTATAACCTGACTGTGACTGTACCTACTTGTACCCTGGAAGCTCTTCGCATTTCGTTTAACTGCGTTCCATAGAGATGAAAAACTGATCACGGAACTCGCTGGCTAAAGTAACCAAACCAGAATTTTAAGGATAAACCAAGGGACAACTTGCGTCTTGTTTACGTAGTTGTACTACGGTGACGCCACCAACCATGTAGGTAAGACATTGACAAACATTTATGTTTATTCTTTTTTATCATATAATAACAGTACATATTAGTACTTTCAGTACCTAATACTGATTAATAATAAGCTTTTTCTACTAGGCGTAACGTTAAAATTAAGTACGAAAATAAATTCGTAAACAGCTGCAAAGACTAATATTTTTATACATACTCCTTGAATTCCGAAGGAGGTTCTTAAAGAGAAAATATGTTAATTTTTTTAAAAGAAATTTAATACATCTCGTACAAACTGTTCGTAGGTGCCTTAATAAAGTAAAACGCTCGTAAAATATCAAAGTAGATACTTAGTTTGATAGTTCAACTAATTTTAAAGCAAACTCTTTCTAAATAGTTCTATGGACAGGCATTTTAAGATTTATTAGACTGTAAGTGCTGTAACGCCCGTTAATGTAGGTACATTAAGCAATTAACAGTGACGACCTTTAAAGATTTGGAGAACAGTTAGTGTGGCCTTGAAGATCTATTTCATCTTAGATTTTGTTTTATTACACTTTTACCAGCTTTTTAATATTTTTTCGTTTATTTAAATGTTAAGTATTAGTATTATAAAAGAATAATACATTTAAAAATCTGCGTCTTGCGATTCCTTGCGGGATTGGACATAAACAGTAACCTAAGACAGAAAATAAATAAGTAAAGGCTTACTCTTGGGTTATAAACAGGCCTACCCTGTTCGTGCACGAACGGAAATTCAGAAAAAAAATTTAATCGTTCTTAAAATGTTAAAATCAAATCCGTGAAGATGATCTGTGCCATCAGAGGTATTATCAACTGTCAGCTCCTATCTCCGTTGAATTATAAATTATCGAAAATGGTTCTTAGAACTTAACGTTTTGAAAGTAGACAAAGTTTCGTTTTCGGATAAACAGAGTAGGACTTCTGGTCTGATTCAGGGACCAGACGAATTTTTCTAGCTCGATCTTTGAAACGTTCAAGAAACACTTGTCCTGCAGTTTATGCAAAGGTGATTTGCAATCACATAAACCTTCTTTTAATAATCATGCAGTGTACACAACGTAGCACTACTATTAACTTCAGTTTATGCAAATCCACTACGCAACCGTATCGGATGTAGGTAATTATCAGTTTAAGAAACAGCAATGGCTTTATAACAAACCATTTAAGTCCTTCAGAAACATATCTTGGTAACCCTATGACAGGTTGGCTGGAACTGATAGCGTGAACATATAAAAGCTTAACAAGAGATGCCATCTGAAAAGCAAACTTAAACATTATAAAACTACCTTTCAACTTTAATGTACTAAAAATGTTTTAAATTAATTACATGAAAGTATGCAATATTATCGTCGTTTCAATGTCGAAAAGTAAATCCATTTCAGTCTATAAAAAATATTAAGTGATCCTTTTTTTTATTAACACCGTGATATATTGCATGCAAGCCTACTGGACCGGTACCAGTTTGTGGAGGTCACTGGCCGACATACCATCACAGTTCTGGCTACACCATGGGAATCCTTTCCAAGTATTCTGTCTAAATATTTAAAATTCATAACCTTAGTTAATAATATAAAATTTATTTTATAACTCTATATAAGAGCGATAGAAAACATTCGGTTCATTCCCAACATTTGCTATTTTTGGGGCCTTCCATATATAACGAATCCAATATGTACTGTGTGGTGGGACACAGATCCAGTACAAATAGACAACAAAAATTATTGCAAGATATAGTTACAAATCCAGCTTTGATCAACAGTTAACGGATATTCATATACAACATCATCACAAATATTAAAAAGAAAACAAGTTCAAAAACTAAAACCCGACTACAGATAGAACACGCTCCAAAAAGTTTGTAACAAAAAAAAAATATTTTATAGCGTTAGCTATTTTATAATAGAGATGACCAAAGGGCTGCGGAGTCGTGTGCCACTGATAATAACACTGCAAACTGTTGTGGATCTCTTAGCATAAAAGATTTTCTTGAATTATTCATATTTGTATTCAGTAAAGTAATATCCATGTCATCACTTGGATAGAGGGAGCTAAGTTGCTAAACTAACAATGATTGAATGTGCTGTTTCCTGATATATCAAATAAAGTTATCTCCTCAAAATTTAATAAATCCTCCAACGTAATTCAATAAAAACAGCTTAGAGTATAACCAGTGCTCCATCATACTTAACGCAACAGCAGCAAATAGACCAACATAAATGCATATCGGCATAAAATACATTTGTACGGCCGTAACAATAGCCGTGTAAAATAATATGTTAGGTAGAATATTTGAAGTGTCACGGCCTTAGAGTGTCTGCCTACATACATCTGACTAACATTGAGAACTTGTTGAATGAAATGTAATGTTTCACAACACTTTCTATCCGCCTGCATTCAACAACTTATCGTATTAGTCACGTTTACGAATTAACAGCAATTAAGCCGCATTATAAGTAATCAAATGTAATGATTCTATTAATGAGATGGTCATTTATTACACACAATAATAATAAATACTCTTTATTACACAAAAAGTAAATGACAATGACATACAAATATTTTACACAAGATATAATTTTACAATGATGACGGAAATAGGGTATTTTTATAAAATATTCCAAATAGACGCTAAAAACTTAGATCTTCCAGCTATAAATAATAGAAAGAAGTGAACATAATTTGCGTTTGATTACATAATTTTACTTATTACATATCCCTGTCTTTTGCCAAGCTTGCGTTATGGTTATAACAATTATTATTATTAAACAGCACAACATAAAGTTTCCCTAAGTAAAGGAACGACGATGAAGAATGTCTAAGAACAATTTTAAAAACTTTCAACAATGTAAACCCGAAGAGCTGCTGTCAAAATGAAAACAATCTATATAAATCAATGCTATTATCTTAAAAGAATCTATTTTATATAATATCAATGGTAACACGAATAATAAACGAACAATAGCCAAAAATAGTCAATTCACTGGAACATAACGGGTTTTTTTTAATAATTGTAATATAGATAGATGGAGTCGTGCTGTATTAGTGATGCGACTCGAGTCCTGTTTTTACTCGAGTGAATAAAAATATCACTCGAGTCTCTATGCACTCGAGTTATCGAGTCAACTCGGCGCATCGAGTTGATTCTCTTCCCACTAGATATCACTTCGCTACTCTAATTTATTAATCTATGCAGCTTATTTTTTTTTCTGGATTATCAAATAATATCAAAACTCATTGAACGTGCTTTTTATTTATTATATTTGTTTAAAATTACTAAGTGACATCTCACTCGAGAAGCACGTTTGATTTTTTTTGCTCTAGTGAGGTAGCTAATTGGCTCGAGTGACTTGAGTCACTAAATCCTACTCGAATCGCATCACTATTCTTTATACAAAGCGGTTGTGATGTGAAAGATATGGTGATAGTGAGCGAACTCGCAATTCTCACGCTATGTGCCCTCAGTGTTGCGGGTTGGTGACCGGGGCACTCGCTTAGAGGAAACTGCATTGTTTGGATCTAGATGGCGCAATGGTGAACGCGTTTTATACGCGATTACGGAGACAACTGTCGCAAAGGATTTTGGTCAAAAGTCTTAAACACAAGCTCTATATTGCTTTCGAAAGTACTTTAAACTATCGGTCTCAGCTGCATACCTATTCATTAGTTATTCCAATCCACATTGAGCTAATTGTAGAAGTGGTAATAATATATTTTATTTATTTATTTATTATTGCATTTAAAAACACAAATGGTCAGAAATTATAATGTCCAAATATAAAAATCATATGTTTTGAACCGACCGCGCTTCGTATAGAACTTCCCTACTAA